AACAGCATGTTGGAAACACTGTATGTAGGCTGCCAAAAGGTGAAGAATCGCAGCCAATATTAGCAGCCTCCCATGAAATTCCAGCATGATGATGCATTAGCAGGGCTTCACAAATGCAGCCGGCAGTGGTAAGGAGGAAACAATCCATGGGGAAAGTGTGACAGCTGGCATGAGAAGAGTGAAAATGAAGAGTATTTACTTAATGCCATTGCTGATTAGATGCAGCAGAGATGATTACCAGGTGCTTGTCAGATGCAAGGAGCAGTCCCTGCAGGAGCATTAAAGTTGTGGCCTTAGTGTAGGAAGAGCATACATTGCTATGAAAGGAAGGGCTAAATGAGTCAGGGAGGGAAGAAGAGGGTAAAGAGAGGCAGGAAGGGTTAGAGACTGATTCTTTTCTTTTCCAGAAGCCTCTGAGTAGATGATTAAAAGGTCAGAGAGACCTATTTCCTTGGATGGGGGCAACAGACAGTAGAGGTGAGCTAAGGCAGAGCACACAGGCAGGAAGAGAGGAAATAATACTGCTCTTTGCTCATGTAGCAAGCAGGAGGCACTCCAGACAGGCAGCCAGAAGCCAAGAAATGTGGAGGGCTGCAAAGCGCTGGCTCTGGCCTCTGCTCCCCCTCTTAAACAGGCACTTGCACCCCAGATGTAAGGGAAGCCTACTAGGCTTCTCTCCTCTTCTGCAAGGTTTATGCATCACCTCCAGCTAGCAGATTCAGTTCACCGGCTACCAGGTGTCTAGTACGCAGTTCAATTCACATTTATAGATATGTATTAAATTCCTTAGCATAGGCTGAGGATGTAGGAGAAAGGATTACTATAGAGGCTCCTTGGCAAGAGTTTCCTATTTAATCAGATACTCTTCCACTTGAAGCAAAATTGCAAGCTATCAGTCTTCAGTGACAAGGGACTTGCTGATCTCAAAAGGCATCCTGATCAAGCCCATAACGTTAGTGAATTTTCCTAACAAAGGAAATCAGTGGGTGCAGAGGCAGGGACTGTATGCCTACAGCCAGCTAGGGGCAATTTTTAGCGTGGTCCAAGGTCCAGGTCCTTTCATACCCTAACAGGCCGATCGGGAGTATATATGCATGGTAATTCACATACATATAAAGCAGAAACAGGGATGATCCCATGGTAGCTTTTCATCCCTGCAACTTTGGAAATGTCACACCATCACCAATCTTGAGAAATATGCTGGGACTGTAGCATGCTTGTTACGCCTACCACCATCGAGTCAGGAAGGGCAAATTCTACAGCTGGCATCTAGTAACAGGTTTCAGTCGAGCCAGAGTAATGAATCACACTACTCTTTCATGTATTTTGTTACAGTCTCCCTGAGCAGGAGTGATGACTCTATCAAACACGCAAAGCAAAATGAACAGAACCCATGGGAAGTGGGTGACAGGTAAAGACTGTCAGGGAGTTTGTTGGCAAGCTGATATATGGTACCAATTACACTTGTTCTTGTTAATTGGAATTCTGCTGCAGCTCCCTATTCGCATCTCTTATCTCGCCTACCTAAATATTTAGCTGTATAACTGGGGTGCCTGAGAATTTCATGGTAAATACTCAACACCCAATAGCATCAATAGGGATTTGAGGATTAAATGAAAACTGATCTCTGAATCCCAGGATTCAACCCCGGAGCACATTTCCTCTACAAAACATGCTGTGTTGGTTCTTGTTCATGACTCACCTGACCTGGGAAATTATCACTCAGTCCTAAAGTCTGTTGCTTCCATAATACTGGGAAGAGGTCTCACTTTTACTGTTTAATAGCACCAGTGGGAAAATACTCGAGAAACAAATGGCCAGGTGCTCTGCTTTATAGAGCTTGTCTGGTGGTCAAAACAGGGAGTCTGGGGGTTACAGAGCCTGCATCTGCTAACAGCTTACGTAGTTATCCTCAGACTCCCAGCCCACCCCTTGCATTGCCTACAATGATGACCTATTTAACAGTTACTGGAGCCTTTTGACAGTCCCAGATGTGGGGTGCTACAGAAGTATAGCTGTTTTCTCCCTGACTAGCTGGCATCTTCATTTCTATCTGAGTGAAGCCAGTTGCAATGTGTTGCCATTACTGGACAAATTCCATCAATATCTAATTTCATCCTGACAAAGCAGCAGCACAGTCCTTGCAGCTGAGTGAGGGCATGTAAGGGCAAAAGGACCGTGCCAGAAATGCTACAGTAAAGCTAAGCATGCCCGCTCCACCCTGAAATGGATGTAATGTAGCTCCCTCAGTGAGGCGCTGCATGCATGCCAATAAGCTTGTTCTCTCGGATGTACTGGCTGGACGGCACTCAGCACTGCGGTGGCACTATTACACCTGTTTTGGGGTAGGGCCTAGGCTAGCAGCAGCACTGGGTTACGAGCTGGTGCTCAGTGTGGGAAAAACAGCCCCCCCATGGCCAGCGCCCTGTCCTGCAGCTGCTCAGAGCCTGTGCGGGACTGCCTGTGCCTGCTCTCTGGTGATGCAGTAGAGAAGCAGGACAGCCCCGCTCGGGCTGCAAGCGGCTGCTGCATGGGGCACTGGCCATGGGAACGGGGAGCAGCCGCTTTTCCCCTCCACTGAGCACCAGCTCGTTCCCTGCCGCCGCTGCTCACTCCAGTCTGCAGGGCATGCGGGGTTGGGGCTGCACGCTGCTCCCTGCCTGTGTGCAGGGCTGGAGCGGGGGCACTGGGAGTGAGCGGGCGAGTGCGGGGTCTTCCTGGTGCTGGGTGCGGGCTGTGCCCAGCACTGGTCCCAGGCGGCAGCTGCAGCATCCTGTCATCTGACACACAGATCGGGGGCCCGCACCCCCAGGAGTCGTCCAGCACAGCTCCGCATCCCTCCCAGGGGTGCGGGCATGCCCCCAATCTGCACATTGGATGACAAGAGGCTGCTACTGCCCAGGACTGGTGCTGGGTGCAGCCCTTGTTTCGATTTGAAGCTGTTTCAAAGGCTTTTGTTTCAATTCAATTTTGCTGTTTCAACCTCAAAATACATTGAAACAATTTCGAAATGAAACACTTGGCGAAATTTTCCACGGCCCTACCCTCCGGTTCCCACCCACCAGTCCAAGCCTCCGCCAGGGGGTTCTCCAGTTGTACTGTGAAGAACAGCCAGGAGGGCTCCACAGACGACAGTGGTTGGAGAATTGCTGCTCTTACTGTTTTCAGTGCAGTAGATCTAGCAAATGCAGCAGGAACTGCCATTTGCTTATAGTCTCAGAGGTTTCCATGGCAGAAATTATGTTTAAGGCCCTTCCGTGCAACGGAAGAGATGCAGCTGATTTGACATTGAAGCAGCCGTTCGATGTCAAAGCCATTCAGAGCTTTTGGATTCAGAGGGTGATTATCACAGCTTAATTGAAAACTAGCCTTCAAACAGAAACGTTGCCATCGTGTGAACTTGACTGGGGATGATTCAGCCGAAGAAGTGATCCCCAATCCCTGCCCCTGCCCTCCCCCCACCCTCCTATATTGCTCAGTCACAGGGAATTAATGCATTCAGACTGACGCAGGCAAGGAAGATGAAGCACGATGTTACTTCATCAGTGTTACTGTCTGTGGGCCAGGCAAGGTTGGGGCCACTGAGCTAAAGTTTCCCCCAGCACTCCCATCACGCCCAGTACATTGTGTAAACCTTTAGAGAGGCTGGATGCACCCTGTCCTTACCCTGGTGTAGCTCTGGCAAAGAAAGCATTATTATGCTGGTTTACCCACAGTTTATACAGCAGCCACAGCAGGTTTTGAAAATTCATCTCCACTCATTCATCTAATAGTCTGTGAAGAGGCAGCAGCTTCCCCACTGGGATGCAGGAGAAACCTGGTAATGATTTCTTGAGGAAGGACAGGGGGTGGGGAACATTGGGGGTAAAGCTGGGACTGCCAGAAGCTGTTGTCTCAGTGGGATACGACCAAAACTGTGACTTTAATTGCCACATGAATCTCTCCACAGACACAACAGCATTTAGCTTTCAAACAGTTAAAATAAAATAAAAAACCAACCCATGAGCTGCAAAACAGAAAACAGAGAGTCTTAGGAAGCAAGGAGCTGCTTTTATCATGGTGGCGATTACACATCTGTCTCCCCAAGTAATCCTGAGACTGTCTAGGGAAAAAAGGCAGCAGAAGGATCAGCTGGGGGTAGGATTCTTCCACTCAGGTGTCAGCCACTGCTTTCAGAAGTGGTTCTGCAAGACACTGGAGACGGTTCAGAAACCTTACATATCGCTGCCAACCAATAATGATTTCAGTCCTATTACAGGCAGCTCAAATTTTCTGAAGGTTTTCAGCAACTCACTATGAATGGTGGGAACAGCCGACAAGGAGGTCTGATTTATCTTAGGTTAAGCAGAGGACTGGATAATTGCCGTGAGCTGACAATGGGCCCATTTGGTAAATATTTCATAGCATCCGTGTACAGTACATAAAGAGAAGTTTCTGTTTGCTTATGCCTACTATACTTTCGGGGGAAAAAAAATCAGTTCTACTCTATTGTATTAAGACACACATTCTTCAACCAACTCCTTCCTGAAACAAGTATCTGGATTTTTAAAATTAACTTTAGTTTCTTAAGCACATATGAGAGGACTATGGATATTGTAAGACCCTATTTTTACCCTATTTTTCATTCACTGATTGTCACTGAATAAATCTGCACACTAAGCTAACAGGATATTGGTATAATTCAAGTTGTCAGCAGTTGAGGTTACCCAGCGAAGGTCTCTAAGCCTCCGACCTTTTTCCTTCCAAACACACTCAAGGTCAGACAGCACCCTTCCTTGTCCTCCCAACCTCCACAACTTTGCCCTCTGCACTACTCTCATCGGTGCAACAATAAATGAAACAAACTTGGAAAGCAAACGGAACAATTTCAAATATTGCTCAAACCACTAGAAATATATAGGCACTACTGTATCCAACTTCTTGAAACACCATAACCCCTGAACTTGGATAATATGTTTGATGATGCAATCGCAGACAGCCCCCATCTCAACACTACTCACTTCATACTGGGAGAATGCCTCTCATCTCTTGTCGTTGGCTGATCGATCAGGGACATCACAGAATAATGCTCCACCATGAGACCATCAGGTTCATCCGCTTGACCGGGGAGTTTCCCAAGAGGGAAGTCTTTCCATTGTACTTCATCTAGGTTGGAAAAAACATTCAATGCATGAACTGGAAGCCTGTGCTCTAAGCTGACTTCAGATATATATGTATATGTATACGTATATGTTTATAAGCTGTACATTCATTTTAGATTTTGTGCAAATAGTGTGGCATCAATACAGCAGGACATCTTATCTTCTCTTAATTTTGTTTCTAATCACTATTGCTCCTCGAAAAGATCACTGTGCCACGTGAAACAACAGGAAAAATGTTAGTACTGCAACAGTATATACTTCATGCTGATCAGGTTAAAGAAACATGTCCACACTCTAAAAAACAATGTTCTCGAACACTTTTTTTTCTCTTATTACCTGACTTCTGACGTGTGTTTGAAATGAAGGCAGCAATACACATCTATTACTTAGGAAATTTCAGGAAAGCACCTAATTTGTTCTCTTAAAAAAAGACAGTTTTGTACATAGAAGCAGCCACTCATATGCATGTAAAACTCTTTCTCCCTTCTAGAGATCTGAATATCCCATATTTGCCCCCCACCGCTTGTTCCAGTGGTTCATATCCATGATAACCTCTTTGCCAGGGTCCCCAACAGCAAAAAAAGGACATGGGACATATTTTTTTAATTCAAGAGGGAGGGAACAGTTGGAACAAACATGCTGTGGACAAGACAGGTAAAACACAAGTTGCAAGAGTTTATGAAATTTCAGCACCCAACTCCCACTGACCTGCAGCAAGAATTTTTTGCCAAATTCCTGGAGAATCATTCCAAAGTCTAAACCCAAGGGCAATAGGAAAATGCAGTGTTGGTTGGATATGGGAACTTAGGCTACAAAATGGAAAGGCAAGAGGATAGACGCTGGGACGTTCTGAATAGCTTGCAAGAACTGCAGGTGCGGGGAAGGCAGGCAAGAGGGAAAGACCCACAAAGACCCTGGGGAAATACAAACCCTCTCTTCTGGTTTACAGGTAGGTTCTTACAGTGACAGCTATCACTGCTGTATCCCCTCCACCACAACCTGCTCCTTCATTTGACTGGGAGCCTTGCATTCTAAAAAGAGACCATCCGTACTCAGCATTTCCCCCCTCAGATTCAATATTTCACAGATAAGAAGCGACTCGTTGCTGAGTTAGGTTTCAGGAGCTGAATGAAAGATGCAAGTGCTATGTGGAAAGCAAGGTTTCAGTCTCACTTACTTTCCTGTGATGGGCTGTTGACTCTGGAATGGTGATGGGTGGTGGCAGGGGACAGACAGGAAGGTGATCTCAAAATGTAAAATTCCTAGTAAGGAAGTTATTGTAAATGGAAACATCAAGTGAAGCACCCACCCCACCTGCCATGAGCTACTTACTGAGGGCAGAACCACTAAGACAATGTCAATACCCAGCCTGGACCTAGAAAGACTCTATTTCAGCCATGCACAAAATGTGAACAAAACTGGGGCCCCTTGTTTGCCAGGCAGAACTTGCTCCCAGTTCAAACAGAAACTAGGACTGGGCTCTTTGAGTAGGCAGGGACTGTGGCTTCATGGCTTTAGAGCATGAGGTAAAACAATAATGCTCTTATCTGTGATGGCAGTTCCCGGGTGACACCGTAACACAATTAAAGGATGGCACAAGTAGTGTCTGGTGCTGCATTTTGCTGCAACTTTCGCTACAGCTCATCCTGAAATGCAGCCACCTGCTATGAATTTAGTGGGCTGTGAATCACCTGGATACAGTCATCTGCTTCCACTCGACTGGGTAGAAAAAGAGTTTTTGCAACTTTTTTTAGGTCCAGAACTACACTGATGTACTTTGAGCCAATGTTACATTTTTTTAACAAGTCAGATATAAACAACAACATCATGAAAAGTACCTAACGAGCTAAAGACGTCAGACAGCAGGGAGGGGGCTTCACATGCATTTTTCATTTTTATTTTTTATACGATTCAAACCAACGAGAAGGTGGAAAGCATTCTGTAGGTTTCCAAAACATTCATCTCCGGTAAGCTGCCCACATCAGTTTAACTAGGCAGAGCTGCTCCAACAACCAAAGATATTTTTACTCAGGAAAATTTCTCTCTGATGGAAGGCTGAAATATTAACTGTCTGTCCCAGAGGGGCTCATGCAGCCCTAGGCCTGGAATGTCCCCCCTGACCAAACTTCCCAGGTTCTTCTCTACCCACTCCCTCTCTGCAAGACCCTCCTAGTCGCACTTCACCCATGACCACAGTAAATCTTAGACTACTATCACACCTTCCAAAAACCCCAGCAAGTCTAAACTGGCAATGAGCAGCAGAGTCGTGGAAGTAACGAAGCACTTGCTATACTGCTGGGTCACTCCCTTGCACTACTTGCCTTGGTCTATCCCTCTGCCAGCTGTCTATGCAGACTGTAAACTTCCTGGGACACGGCAGCTGCTTGGAAAGCACCTAAATGCACCACTAATAAATAACATCCATGCCAGGGGTTAGTGATCCCAGTGATCTTTTTAGTGATTCCAGTCTGATAAGTGGAAGGTTTTGGCACATCTTGCTGCAGTCCGTGAAGCACTGGTGTTTCTTTACTGTTCGGCCGGCAGCCACTCCTCCATCAATCAGCTACACTGGAATATTAACCACAGAGAGTGACACTTGATGCTGAAGTTAATGAAACATTAACTATGTGGACATAAAAGAAGCAATCCTAGTTTAAAGCACTGCTAGAGAAGAGACATCTATATGCAAATGGCAGGCTGGAAAAATGAAGTTTACAGGGGCATGGCATGGACGTGGCTTTGAAACAAGTTTCAGTCTGCAGGAGCCTCTGCATTTCAAATGACACCTACTGGTGAGGAAGGGAGAGCAGGGAAGTCTGTGACCTTTTTACCTGAACTGATCTGCCAAACAGATCCTTGCAGTGCAGCCCTTTTCTCAGCTACAGCCATCATGTTCACAGGATGCAGGAGCTCTTCCAAAGATGGTGACTCTGTTTCCATCTCTTCTTCCTCCTCATCTTCCTCCTCCCCCTCTTCATCTTCGCCTCCACCCAGTACAGTTTCTTGCCTTTCTGCCATCTGGCCTTGATCTTTGGCCAGATTATCTTGCTTAGCCTTCCACTGTAGGCTCTCAATTGTATAAATTGGCTGTCCTCTAGTATCTGAAGAAGAACCTGGACTGGAGAGGGAACTTCCTTCTTGAGTGTAGATGGAGGAAAGGTAAAGAAGATTTTTCTGAGTGTCTAAAGGCAAAGGAGGCTCCATACCTGTGAGAATCCTAGAAAAGGAAGAACAGAATCAGTCTCACATGCAAGAACCAAGTGTTACAGAAACCAGAAGCCTCTTGCACAAGGGTGCTTCCAGGCTTGCTCTCCCACCCCTTTGTAGAGGATTGGTAGGAAATGATGATAATCTTCTCCAGGGGTACAAGACAAAAGCTAATCCCTCTTTCTTGCTTTCTTTTTTAGCAGCGTGTCTCTCTCTCTTCAATCCTAATTGAAGTTTTTGTGTGAAATGGGAGTGGAAGTTACAAGTTACATGCTCTCTGCCATGTCAGCAACCCCTGCTTTCTCCTGTACCTTGAATGTTTAAAGTCAGTGAATTGAGAAAAAGTTTTGTTATACAGCACACTTAGTTTTTCCTTGCAAAGGAAACACCCTGAAAAGTTCTACTTTTTCCTCTTTCATATCACAGTGAGGAAAAAGAGCAGGAACAATACGCATTATATAAACCAAATTTTCCACGGACGTGAAAGAAGTGGAAGGAACTATTGGTCATAACAACATACTGGACAGGCAAGAAACACCACAGAACTCTGCTTCCTACTCCCGATGCTTTTCCCCAAATCATGGGGTCACTTACAGCTGAAGGAGGTGGGGAGTTGCCCAGCAGGGAGCTCCCAAGCAATTATCAATGAGCTTTAGCCACTGCAAAGGGATTCTGCGGAGAGACAGCTTCCTTTTCTGACGCTGGTAACAGGATTCCATTTTCTTCCCTACAAAAAGGATGACAAGGAAGAAAGGGAGCTTCACAAAGAAGAAATGCACTGGTTGTACTCACACCTTGACATTTTTTTAAGCCGCTACTCTCCTTAGTAGCTAGGACTAAGGCATTTTGCAGGTCACTTTTCCACCCAGTTCTGAGGTTAGGTCTATGCTATTAAGGTTTGGCAGCACAGCTATAACAGCTATGAGTGCATGTATGCGGGAGAAGGAAAAAGGGGGGTGTTTGGAGGGAACAAAACACATACCACACCCTCCAGCCTATGTAGCTATGCAAATGAAACCCCTGGCATGGATACAACTATGGAGACAGAAAGGGGTTTCTGTTTGCTTTCCTTATGTCATTCAG